AAAGTACAAAAATTTAAAGCATTCCTTTCTTTAATTTTGTAATTCTTTACTGTGGAATAGCTCAGAATGTCAGTTCTGTTTTAGGTAACAGAATTGATAACTGAGCAAGGAAATGTAATTTGGATTATAAAATTCTTGCTTTAATAAAAATTCCTTAAACCGTAAAAAAAAAAGATAGATTATTATCTCTAGTTAAGCTTGTAACGAATCATAAATAAACTAATCCTTTAGAAAAAGAGAGCACACTATATGTATAACATAAGAACTTTTTATAACCCTAGATTCAAAGGCATTTCTTGCATGAACACAAACTCACATATGTCCACAATCATTTGGAGATAAGACAGCTACTAAGCTGTTCTACTCATCAATGAAACAGAAGCTTTTAAGCTGAGTTGACAGAAGAAAGAAGGAAAGCTGAGGAGGATTTAAGCAAATGTATAACCAAACAACTAAAACACCAACGAAGGATACTCACGGGAAGCTCAGGAGCATTTTTCAACATCTGAAGGGAAATATAGGAGCCAATTGAATGGCCAATGAACACAAGCTTCATTTGCTTCGGTACATGAGTTCTCAGGAAAGCTAGTTTGTGTTCTATCTGACCATGAAGTCCATAGGCGTCCTTAATTTCTGGTGTATTTGAATCTAAAAGCAAAAACATGAGAATGTTTTTATTCAGTAACTGAAAAGTATCATTTCAATAGGAAAAAAACCCAAGCAAACAATAACCCAACTTCAAAAAAAACAACTAACCTAAACCAAGGCGATCGTAGTACTAAAAAGAAAACCAAGCCCACTGCTATTGAGTCTGTTCTGACTCAGTAACCCATCAGGTTTCTGAGGCTGTAACTCTTTACTGGAGGAAAACAACCAACTTCTCTCTCAGAATTGTTACGGGATTCAAACTGACAAGGTTTTGGTTAGCAGTTCAGTATGTTATACACTATGCCACCAAGTCTCCTTAAAAATCATAGTACTTAACTCACTCACAAGCCCATCAAGTAAGAAAGAATCAAGTCATTGTTGATTTGGGGGAGGTTGTAAATCCCAAGGGAGAAGAGTGCCCATCTTTCTCCCTAGTTGGTTCCGAGAGATTCAAACCGCCAGAGAGATGCCACCTGTGGGTTAGCAGCAAAACTTCCAGTGGTCCACAACATAAACAGTGTTCCAAGCATCCTGAAAAATCTACAACCAGGAGAAGATAAAATAGATAATGGGACCTTCTAAGAATCAAATCCCTATGCAATCCAAAAACGTCTACAAAAGGGTTAAAAGGAAAGCCACAGACTGGGAAAAGGTATTTGGTAATGACATGTCAGATAAGGGACTTATATCTAGAATTTATAAAATACTCAAGCACCACAACAAGATAAAGGTAAAAGCCCAATTGAAAAATGGGCACAGGATATGAACAGACACTTCACCAAAGAAGACATTCAGATGGTGAACAAGCACATGAAGAAATGTTCAAAATCCCTAGCTCCAGAGAGATGCAAATCAAAACAACTATGGGATATCATCTCACCCCAGTAAGGATAGCAAAATTTAACAGAAAGGCAAGCAACA